AGTACATCTTTGGCTTTAAACATACTGTTTCCCCTATGGGTATGCCCTTTGTCTCATCCTTCATTAGAAATAAATCATCTGAATAGTTAAGATCAAAAATGTCTGGTCTCTCTGCTCGATCTTTATATATGTCTTCAGTTTCTATCTGCATGATGAGTGAGTCTGTGTCTGTATAAAGTAGACGGGCTTTATCTCCATAGCGAGGCTTTATGTATCCATACCAAAAGTTATACATCATAGTCTTGCTAATGTCGAGAATTGTCTGCCTTACATAGATTGGTTTATTTAGAGTTACTGTGCCTTTTAACATGTGGACTGCTGTGATACCCCCTTCGAATGCTTTAAAGCCTACATACAATGGTGAACTTGCTAGGCGCCTGATTTTTTTATCCTCTTCTGTTCGGAGTAATTCTACTCTCATATGTTTACGGACATTCTCTATCTGCTTGCCGAAGATTGCATTATTTTTTAGCTTATAATATACGATCCCAAACTCATCTCCATTTGCCTTGGCTATTTTGCGTTTACGAATATTTTCCTCAATATATTCCTTCATCCACGGAGACTGCCTAAACTTGAGAGCGCTATGAATCTTTGTAACCTTCATTCCGAACTTCATATATGTCTGGAGAGCTCGGTAATGAACTATATAATTCTTCTTAGTAAAAAGGGTCTGAACTAGCTTTTCTCCAGATATATATTTCCCTTCTCCAACATTTTTATTACGCACTAATATTTTATTATATAGACTAAGCCAGTTTTCTGGTATTATCTGCTTTTCTGGCACTAAAGGATAATCTGCAAAGTAATCATGCAAGTGCACTGGGGCTTCTAAATCAACTTCAAGTATATAGCCTATTTCTGTATCTGGTGCAATATTTTGGATGTCAGGTACTTCCTCTGGACTTACCTTATCTAGGATTTCTGTAGGCATGTATTGGGTCATTGATCTGAATATAAGGTGTTCATATCTTCATATAAGACCCAGGACTTTGGCTTGCTGAACTCATAGTTTGGACATTGCAGATTATTTGCTTTGGCATATCTATGACATGCCATTGTCATTCCTTCACGGATTCCATTTTCAACTATCAGATACTCATCCATATCTGTCATGAGCTTAAGTTCTACCCCGCTACTTTTGTATAGAGAATCGTTAAACATTCCAGGTGCAGAGACATAGTAAGATGGATCTAGACCATTGTCTTTGAGACACATTATGGTATAATTCATAAAAACATCTGCAAGTAAAAGTACATCAGTCTCAAGATAAAGGTCATGATATTCTCCAAAGTTCTTTATCTCAAATATTTGCCATACCTTTTGTGCATGTTCGTAATCCTCTTTACTAATATTTTGTTGACTAAGAAGTGAATAGAAATCCTTTTTAGATAGGAGGCTTGTTCTGTCAAATTTTTTCCATGCATTTGTCCAGTCATATAGAAAGACACCCTTTCGAAAAAGAAGCTTAATCTTGTCTATTAAATAGCCTTTTTCAGTAAAATACTTAACACTTAGGGGGAATTTTTCGATTTTCTCCCCTAGGCATTCAACCAATTTATCTAGCCCCATTCCCATATGCTGAAAGCTATCTAAGAACCGAAGCTGTCTTACATCCATGGCTTTGTACTTTTCTATATTCTCTGGGATGCAATTTAGCTTATCAGCTGTAAACTTGCTCACAACTTTCATAAGCGGATGAGAGTCATACCCTCGGAAATTATGACAGATAAGGCACTTTAGTTTCGAAAGAGCCTATACGCAACTTTTTATTACAAGAGTCATGAGCTGGGCCTCGGTACTTTCCATTTATATGATCATGATCTTTTACTTTTCGATTAAGTGCACTTAAAGCTTCTTGGTATCTTTTCTGTGCCTCTTTCTTTTTAGGATGTTCTTTTTCTATGCATGATTCCTATTCTTTGATTTCTAATAAATTATGCTTTGCTTCTTCGAGTTTTTGTACTATCTCTGGTGCTGGTTTTAAAAAAGGTCTTTTGCAAATCCAGCATTCTGTCGCCTCATTGTATGCTTTAAGATCTCCTGGTACCATTATCATTTCTATAGGCACAGATAAGTCCTCTTGTATGTTTGCCAACTTCTCTTCGATTTTTGTAACGAATCTTTTAAGCGCATCTGGGCCCCTATATAAATCATGACTTATGATTTCATAGTTAAATGAACTATCTATACGAACAACTATATAGCAATAACTACATGGCTTGTGCATCTGCAATCTTTCGGTATGGGTTAACTTTGTTTTCTCTTCTG